CCCCCCCCCCCCCGTACTACCCCATTAAAAAAAAAATCCTAGAATTGCCCCTGCAAATAACTAACAATCTCATCATACTGTATCATCCTTGCAGATCTGAGAACAAAGATGAGAAGTCTGAAATCTCTGATGGAAAAGGTAAATAAAATTAGCTTGCATTCACGTTTGTTACTACCTTAAGTAATATCCGAAGATATCCAGACCTTAATGGTTCAATCTTGCAATTTCAGAGCAAGGAGGAGAGAGGACCGTCGTAATGGACAAGTCGAAAGGAGAGCCGGTCATCAGTGTGAAAACAAAAAGCAAAGAACGAGTATGTTTCATAATTCGAACCGTTTTAAATCCAACTGCCTTGTTGTTTTAGACGTGTTGAAATGATGCACCAATTTTTGTTTTAGAGCACTAAGAGCCGTGACCGTAAGTCCTCCAGCAAAGAGAGGAAGGACATTTTGTCATTTGACCAGATCAAAGAGCAGAGAGAGAGGGAGCGCCAAAGGCAGAGGGAACGAGAGATAAGAGAGGTGGAAAGACGCAGACACTCTGGGTAACTACTGCCTCCCATTGTCATCTTCCCCTCAACCTGATCTACTGTTGATCAAAAAACAATTTAACAATTTTTCCACTGATTTCTCAACCCGTTTAATTACATTCCAGTGAGCGAGACCGTGACAGCCGTACGGAGCGAGAGCGTATCCGCCTCTTCCGGGAGCGGGAGGAGAAGGAGAGGTTGATGAGGAAGCGCAACTGGCTGGAAGTGGAGAAGCAGCGACTGAATGCGGATCGCATGGAGCGTGAGTTTTTGGAGCGTGAGCGTCTCCGAATAGAGTACGAGCGGCGGCGTGAACAGGAGCGCATTCATCGTGAGAGGGAGGAGCTGAAGCGACAACAAGAACAGCTACGATTTGAACAGGATCGACGTTCCCTTAAGAGGCCTTATGACATGGATGGCAGGTATGCATAGGGTAGGGTTGCCGAAGTCACGGATTTTGCTTGGTCTTTTTTTTTTTTTTTTTTTTTTTTTTGCGAAAACCAGTAAAAGACGAGGTTTCCACATCCAACTTCTTAATCGACCTGATCATTTTTTAGAAAGTTCAATGACTAGGAACATCTTGATTTGTCAGTTTTGACCATGCAGGCATGTCTGGATTTATGCAATTTTTCTGTTTCCTCTTTCAAATGTACAGAAAAGACGACTGGCAGATGAAGAGAATGACCATGGATGATCGCGGTGGAAGGTCGGATTTTGGACGCCAAGACCGCTACCAAGACTTTGACCACAGAGACCGCAGCCGCTATCAGGATGACATGATGATAGACAGGTAACACTAGCAATGTCTAACAGCACCCAAACATCTAGACATTTGTCTATAGATTTTGCTACTATACGGTAATAATTTGCATGCCTTTTTCTATAGGAGAGACAACAGAGGCGGGATGCAAGGAGACCAGGTAAGAAAAGTCCTTCACGGATCTTAATTCGATTTGATCTTTGGGTATTGGATGGCGTCTCATCCTATTTTCTCCATCCACAGCACTTTTCAGATCGGGACAGACATGGCAGGGACAATCGTGACAATTGGGGTGGCGGATACGACAAGCGTGGAATGAATCCGTCGAGGCCAGTGCCAGGCGGGTAAGTTGATTTTCCTCCTCTAGTCAGATGTGCTGTGGTCTTAGACCTCTCTTTATTCAACTGTTTGTTCTGCTTTGTTTTTACAGTCGTGACAACAGGGACTGGGAGCCTGGCCGTAAAGTCGACGGGGACAGAAACTGGCAAGGTTTGTCCAATAAACCTCTATTAAGCTTAGAAAAGGTTGCATGTTCTCCCTTCTGATTTATTACCTTTCTTTTTTAGGAGCAGACCGAGGTGTCCCGGGACTGGGTCAAGTGGCACGGGGTGGAATGGCAAGGTAGTGAGATTTAGGCTTTCGTGGTCTTGTTTGGAGTATAGTGAGTGTCATGGGTTTTCTTGTTGTGCATGAAACTAATATATTTGTCTCTGTAGCCGAGGTGGATACATACAGACAGGGACATCCCAGTCAATCTCTGGAGCCTTAAACCGACCGAATCAGATGCAAAGCAGCGGAATGCAGGGAGGCGGAGCCTTTGGTCGACGCTATTAACTTACATCCTCTTCCCTTGTTTATCTGTTGTGTGTAAAGAGACTTTGCAGCTTGTATATTGCCATTCAAGCTTTGTAACTTTTTTTTTTTTAAGTCCACTTTTCTTTTCATGGTGTAAAGACTAACAGAAAATTGGTTTCATTGTGTAGAGATTTTATTTCGACTTTTTTTTTTCTCCATTCCACATCTCTAGATTTTAGTCATTTCTGTGGTACACTTGGTGAATGCTCAGGAATGTTTTGCTAAAATGAAACCTATCTTTGACACCATTAACTAGATGTCCACTTGTTTTTGACGTGTTTCAATAAATTTATTGTAAAGTTTTCTTCAAAGGAGTGCTCTTGTTTTCTTATGATGCCAGTAGGTGGCACTCTTAGTCTAAGCATTATTAGAGGAACTTAACGATGCTGGCAGAGCTGAGAATGCAAGTAAATTTTTACATTTTCTGAAAAAGAACACTACATATTAACACTTGCATATCATCCAATCGGAACGTTAATTTCAGGTTTATTTAGTAAAAGTGATGGTTGTGTTATCAATAACAGCTTATAATAATATGTGGCATCTCTCTAGCCTTGGTTACAGTTTAAGATGTTTGTGCATGAATAAACTGAGAAAACGGATGACATTGCCGTCATGTCCGTTGGCCAATTGCTCAATACATTTGATTATTCCGAGCTTGCTTATTCATAGCGTAGGAGGAATGTGGTTTTTAAAAAAACGTTACAAATGCACTTTCTACATGACTTTTAAATGTCAAAGGAGCAAAAGATTGCATATTGTGGAAGTCTAATCACTGGAGTATTAGATCACTAATATATCTAATAATAACCCTCAAGTTCCCACTTTGAAAGGGAAACCATTTCCTGAATGTTTTATTTTGGTATCTATCCTGAGTCACACTGGTAGTTCCTTATTGTTTAGATCAGGGCTGTCCAAACTCGGTCCTGGAGGGCCGGTGTCCTGCAGTGTTTAGCTCCAACCCTAATTAAACACACCTGAACCAGCTAATCAAGCTCTTACTAGGCATAGAAACTTCCAGTCAGGTGTGTTGAGGCAAGTTGGAGCTAAACTCTGCAGGACACCGGCCCTCCACTAAAAAGTGACGACAACCTCTATAAAACCAGCCAAAATACCAGCAATGCACAATGTGTTTGTGCGAATTAGCTTACATTTTAAAAATCTACTCACTGTCACTGCTTTGTGGTAAACAAATTTATAATTGGACTGGACTCCAATTTAACTGCGTATCCTTCGTTTTAAAATATTTCAGAAGCTTTACAAGATATTAGCAAATACATAAAACACTATGAAGGCCTGTCTTATGACCGAGATCTCATAAAACAACAGCACCAACGCATCAGACGCGAGACGCATCCAAACAAACAAGAGCTTCATCTAAACTTCAACGCCTTTCAAAGGTACTTAGGATTTTTAAGACATCCACCATACTTAAATATGTACATATGAATTCTATTAAGCACTGATTTTGTTTTGGTAGGGAATTCCACCTACGTCTCAAGCCAGATGTAAATGGCTTCACAGAAGATTTCAAGGTCCAGTCAGAAGATGAAACTCAGATGGTGGATCTCTCGCACATATACTCAGGAGCAGTAGAAGGTAGTACATTTTGAAACACATTCATTGTTTTGAATGCCACACAATTCTTATCTATCATTAATGTTACTAAGATGAAACTATTCATGTCTCAAGATGAGAGTGAATTCTCATGTCAAGGGTCTGTTCTCGAGGGTCAGTTTGAAGGCTCCATTACAACAGCCAATGGGACGTTCTACGTCGAGCCCATTGACAGATACACCACCTCCAACACTGACGACCATTCCATCATTTATCACGAGGATGATGTGGGTAAGTGATTATAATGTATTTCTTTCTTCACTGAGGTAAAGCTGTGAATTAGTCCTAACAAAATTGTGTTTACTGCAAAAATAATTTTCTTATTCCGTATTTTTGCCATTTTTACAATAAAGACGAAAAATCCATAAACCATGATAAATTTAGGCCTATTGCAAGCAGAACTGTTCAATATAGCTAGCAGTTTAATATAATAATAAGACTTTCCCAACCCGATCTCATGAGATGTGTTTTATGAGTAGGTGATTTTGTATGAATTTGTACAATGTGATTTTTAGGAAAAAATTATAAAAATCATGAAGGTCCACCCATATAACTATAAGTGTATGAATTTGTACGATCTCTAATTGTTTTATTTGGAAAATAAGTTAAAAAATAATGTTTAACAAACTACTTTTTTGTAGTTTTAGCTTGAAAATGGGAATTTTATTTAATTAATTAATTTTATATTATTATTATTATTATTATTAAGGTCCACCCATATAACTATAAGTGTATGAATTTGTACGATCTCTAATTGTTTTATTTGGAAAATAAGTTAAAAAATAATGTTTAACAAACTACTTTTTTGTAGTTTTAGCTTGAAAATGGGAATTTTATTTAATTAATTAATTTTATATTATTATTATTATTATTATTTATTTATTTACTTTTTTTAAGGAAACCTTTAGTTAGG